GTTCTTGTTTAGTAAATCAGTCTCAAAACAAGATCAAAAAGAATTTTTGGCTGATATAAGGTTTAAAACTTGGTCAGGTGGACAGTTTTTGCAGTGCAGTTGAAGCTCTGAGAAGCTTTCTTTGGTCGAGACTCAAAATCTTCAGAACAACGGACCGTCCAACATTACATAGGTCTCTTCACTTCCTGCTTTTTGAATCTCTCTCCAGCTGATTTAGTCTTTTATTCTTCTCTGTTTACTCTCATATTTTTTGTAAAATTATTTTTTTGTTGCTTTTATCTATGCTTTTGTCATATTTATTGTTGTCGTTGTGGCTGCTCTGGCTACATCTTGTTTTTAAATGTTATGTAAAAATAAATGGACTTGACTGTTTGATTTATGTGAATTGAAAGTTATCCAAACCCAAGGTTTTAGTCTGATGACAGTTTGAAAAGGACAGAGTAAAATCTTCATCCATTCATGTGTCCCCTGCTGAGAAAAGAGCTTCCAACCTCCTGATGTGAGCAGATGCATGATGGCAGAACCATCCAGGTTAGTGCTGTACCACACATGAAGCCTTTGTGCCTCAGGAAACAGCTCACTGATTTTAGGTCACCATTTGCACTGTACTGTTTGTTGATCCATCACAGTCCATCAATAATCAGCCATAGGTTTAGGATGGGGCTCCATGTCTGCAGGCTGTTTGAGTCAGGAGGGAGTCAGAAACTGGAGGTGTGTGCAGAGAGTCCAACCTCCTGGATGAATTATTCACAGGCTGCCATGACTCTGCCTGTCCTCCTGCAGGATCAGCTCACTGTTCACATGTTCACTGTTCACATGTTCACTGTTCACATGTTCGCTGTTCACATGCTCGCTGTTCACATGCTCACTGTTCACATGCTCACTGTTCACATGTTCACTGTTCACATGTTCGCTGTTCACATGCTCGCTGTTCACATGCTCACTGTTCACATGTTCGCTGTTCACATGCTCGCTGTTCACATGCTCACTGTTCACATGCTCACTGTTCACATGCCCACTGTTCACATGCTCACTGTTCACATGCTCACTGTTCACATGCTCACTGTTCACATGTTCACTGTTCACATGTTCACTGTTCACATGCTCACTGTTCACTGCTCACTGTTCACATGCTCACTGTTTGCATGTTCACTGTTCGCATGTTCACTGTTCACATGTTCACTGTTCACATGCTCACTGTTCACATGCTCACTGTTCGCATGTTCACTGTTCACATGTTCACTGTTCACATGTTCACTGTTCACATG